GGGGAAGGGGGTTCTGAAATAAATAGGGAGGGGGGGAGGCGGATAGAAGATGGATAGCGGAGAAGATAGGTGGAGAGGAGACAGACAGGTCAAAGAGATGGGGATGGAGCCAGTAAAGATGAGTGTAGGTGGGGAGGTAGGGAGGAGATAGGTCAGTCAGGGAGGATGGACAGGTCAAGGGGGTGGGATGAGGTTAGTAGGTAGGGGATGGGGGTGGGGCTTGGGGTGGGAGGAGGGAATAGGTGGGAGGAAGGACAGGTTAGGGAGGCAGGGACGAGCTGGGCTGATTTTGGGATGCGGTAGGGGGAGGTGAGATTTTGAAGCTTGTGAAATCCACACTGATACCATTGGGCTGCAGGGTTCCCAAGCAGAATATGAGTTGCTGTTCCTGCAACCTTCGGGTAGCATCGTTGTGGCACTGCAGGAGGCCCAGGATGGACATGTCATCTGAGGAATGGGAGGGGGAGATGAAATGGTTCGCGACTGGGAGGTGCAGTTGTTTAGTGCGAACCAAGCGTAGGTGTTCTGCAAAGTGGTCCCCCAGCCTCTGCTTGGTTTCCCCAATGTAGAGGAGGACACAACGGGAACAGCGGATGCAGTATACCACATTAGCAAATGTGCAGGTGAACATCAGCTTGATGTGGAAAGTCTCCGTGGGGCCTGGAATGGGAGTGAGGGAGGAGGTGTGGGGGCAGGTGTAGCACTTCCTGCGGTTGCAGAGAAAAGTGCCGGGTGTAGTGGGGCTGGAGGGGAGTGTGGAGCGGACAAGGGAGTCACGGAGAGAGTGGTCCCTCCAGAAAGCAGATAAGGGTGGGGAGGGAAAAATGTCTTTGGTGTGGGGTCGGATTGCAGATGGCGGAAGTGTCGGAGGATGATGCGTTGGATCCAGAGGTTGGTGGGGTGGTACGTGAGGACGAGGGGGATTCTGTTTTGGTTGTTATTGCGGGGAGGGGGTGTGAGGGATGAGTTGCGGGAAATGCAGGAGACACGGTCAAGGGCATTCTTGACCACTGAGGGGGGGATGTTGTGGTCCTTGAAAAACGAGGACATCTGAGATGTTCGGGAGTGGAATGCCTCATCCTGGGAGCAGATGCGGCGGAGGCGAAGGAATTGGGAATAGGGGATAGCATTTTTGCAGGAAGGTGGGTGGGAGGAGGTGTATTCTAGGTAGCTGTGGGAGTCGGTGGGCTTGAAATGGATATCGGTTTCTAGTTGGTTGCCAGAGATGGAGACAGAGAGGTCCAGGAAGGAGAGAGAGGTATTGGAGATGGTCCAGGTGAACTTAAGGTTGGGGTGGAAGGTGTTGTTGTTGTCACCTTCCATCCCAATCTTAAGTTTTCATGCAGATGGTAGTGTGTGTATGGAATGAGCTGCCAGAGGAAGCGGTGGAGGCTGGTACAATTACAACATTTAAAAGGCATCCGGATGGTATATGAATAGGAAGGGTTTAGAGGGATATGGGCCAAATGCTAGCAAATGGGACTAGACTGATTTAGGATATCTGATTGGCATGGATGAGTTAGACCGAAGGGTCTGTTTCTGTGTTGTACATCGCTATGATTCTATGAGACTCTGTCTCAGTGGCTGACGAGGTGCACATCAGGATAGTGGCAATTTTTTACCTTTGCTCCTCAGTGTTGCTCATGCTCCCAAACAGGATGAGAGAATTGTTGACAGTGTGCTGAGGATCAGGGTGAAGATTAGGCATTGGTCACAGCACCAGTTTGTGAAGGAAAAGGGAATCTTATTTCAAGACAAACTGAGTTAGGGTCGGAATGTTATAAATCGGTGTTAACTGGAGCCAGTCAATGGAGAATGTCAGGTGCATTTTAAAAAATATTGAATGAAGAATGTGCAATGTTTAGCTGAGGTCCACGTTCCAGCTCCTCTTGTTAGCTCTCTCACTGAAGTGAGAGGGCATTTTGTGCAGTTTGCTCCCAGGCAGCCTGTACTGGGAAACATTTAGGCTTGGGCTGATTTTTGGCAAGAAATATTCATGGCAAACAAGTGTTAGATAATAACTGTCTCCAACAAGAGAGATTCTAACCATGACCCCATAACTTTTAAAAACATTATCATCTCCACACGTCTATATTCTGGGGTCACTGTTTTCCAGAATCTGAACAGTCTGGCTGCATAAATTCTGTGGCTACAGGAAAAGTTGTTTTGCAGTGAGTAACTCACCTCCTGACTCCCCAAAACCAGTCCACTATCTACAAGGCACAAGTCAAGAGTGTGATGGAATACTCCCCACTTGCCTGGATGGGTGCAGCTCCAACAACACTCAAGAAGCTCAACACCATCCAGGACAAAGCAGCCCGCTTGATTGGCACCACATCAACCATTGCCCAGATCATTCCAACACTGCCCCCCAGCAGTGTGTACTATTTACGAGATGCACTGCAGCAATTCACCAAGACTTTTTCGACAGCGCCTTCTAAAATCTAGACCTCTACCCCGCCTAAAAGAATGTTTGTAGCAGGAACATGGCAATAACACGCCATGTCCAAGCCTCTTCCCACTCACTGGGGTGAACATAAAAGTTCTCTCAAACACTCTGAAATCCAGACTCCTTTGTGTTTTACATGCTGGGAATTATCAATGTGCAACTCACACTCCCAAAAATGTTGCAGGTGCTGAGGAGAGATTAGAGCTTTCAAGAGTGAGATGAATAGATCTTTGTTGAGTAAGATTATCAAGAGTTATGGAGCAAACTCAGGAAAACGGGGTTGAAGTACAGACCAATCATGAACTAATTCAATAGTGGGATAGGCTTGAGCAGCTGAATGGCCATCTCCTGTTCTTATGAATCTGAGCATGTTCAGGGGACAATCCAGAACTAGGGGTGATTGATACAAGATAATTACTAACAGGGAAAGAAGACATTTCTTTACTCTGAGTGATCAGAAATACAGGACATGATCTCACAGGAAGTGGTTGAGTGAAGTATATTGGAACGTCTCAGAAGGATGAGTGCACACAGCCATCATTCAGAATGAGGAAGATGCTTGCTCTCAATAAGATGCGGAATCTTTTAGCATGTGGGCATTGTTGGGCTGCTGTTACCATTTGCTGGTGGCCTAGCAGGGATCCTTCCTACTCATACCACCTCCCAGTGGAGTATCTGAAGGATTTACAGATCAATCATCAATCTGTCTAGCTGCGTTATGCCATCAAGTGCTGAGGTGGGTCTTGAACCTGGAGTATCAGGCCCAGAGGCAGGGACATTACCCACTGCACCACAAGACCGGCCCGAGAAATATAGGCTGAAAGGGGGAGACAGATGGAACAACAGCAGATGGGCTGGCATATAAACACTAGCAGAGATAGGTTGGGCTGAACAGCCTATAGTCATGCCGTACAGATATTTTTCCGAATCTACCCATTCTGGAGCAAGTGAGACTTGAACCCAGGCCTCCCAGCCCTAATGGAGGGACACTACCTCTACATCACAAGCGCACTTAGCTCTGCTGCCTTCTCCTTGTGAAACAATCTTGTGCATTTGAATGTCAGTGGCAATACTGAGGATGGACTATAGGGGGCAGCAGGTCTCTGAGAATGAGCGGCGGACCATGTGGCTGCCAAATGTGTGGAACCTTCTGGAGCCATCAACAAAACAACAGTTTTTGTACCAGCAGCAGCGGGCAGTTGTTGTTATCGTAATTTCTTTAACCGATCAATAACAGCTGTTTGTTTCCTGGAAATGAGGTAAAAAAGTTAAGAATTACATCAATGCTAATTTGTAAATGCTTTAATTCTATCTGCTGTGACAGCGAAGGATTAATCTGGAAGTCAGTGGTTCACTTTCACATTTTTGTTATATTTTGAGAGCAAAGCTTCAGTGGGTGGAAAGAAAGGAGAGAATGTGCTCATGAATTTTGAAAAAAAACTTATTCACGGGATGCAGGCATCACTGGCTAGGCTAGTGTTTACTATCCATCACTAATCACCCCCGAGAAGGTGGTGCTGAGCTGCCTTCTCAAACTGCTACAGTCTTTGATATGTACGGGCACCCACAGTGCTCTTAGGGAGGGAAGTCCAGAAATTTGACCCAACGACACTGAAAAAAATGGAAACAGTTCCAGATGGTTAGTACCTTGGAGGGGAACCTACTGGGCATGGTGTTCCCATTTATCTGCTGCCCTTGTCCTTCTAGATGGAAGTGGTTGTGTGTTTGGAAGGTGCTGTTTTCGGAGCTAGGTATCTTGCAGCGTATCTTGCTATTGTAGATTGGAGCTAGGGAGAGAGAATGTTTGTTGATGTAGTGCCAATCAGGCGGGCTGCTTTGTCCTGGATGGTGTCAAGCTCCTTGAGTGTTGTTGGGGCTGTACTCATCCAGGCAAGTAGGGAGTATTCCATCACACTCCTGACTTGTGTCTTGTGAAACGAAATAGGCCTTGGGGAGTCAGGAGGTGAGTTACTCACTGCAGTATTCCTAACCTCTAACCTTGTAGCCACAGTGTGTATATGACTAGTTTTGTTCAGTTGCTGGTCAATGGTAACCCCAGGACGTTAATAGTGAGGGATTCAGTGATGGTAATGCCATTGAATGTCAAGGGGCGGCTGTTAGATTGTCTCTGGTTGGAGTTGGTCATTGCCTGGTATTTGTGTAGCACGAATGTTATCCGTTCTCATAAAGAATACATGGCACGGTCAACAAGTGTTGCTTGGCCAAAGGACAGGTTTTTAAGTCAGGTCTTAAGTGAGAAGCAGGGAATGGAAGGAAAGAAAAACAGTTCAGCGATGGGAGTCAAGAGCAGAAGATCAAGATGGCTGAAGACACATCCACTAATGGTGCAGGAATTGGATGGTAATATGGTGTGGGTAGTGCAGAAGAGCGCAGAGTCAGAAAGCATCCAGGAGGATTGTGGCTTAGTGAAATAGGGACAGATGATGCCATGGAGTCATTTGAATTAGGGGATGAGAATTGAAGTAATTTGCAGGTCGTCAAGAACATGGGCAATGGGTGAATGGCTTGGTGTAGGTTTTGGTGCGGGTAAGAGATTCTCAGATGTTTTGACATTTATGGATATGGTAATGGAGTTTGGAAGGCAAAGAATTGGAATCATAAAATTTGAAACTCATGGGTGAGTGAGTCAACACCTCAGAAGCAACTCAGAGAAGGTTCACTCGGCTGATCCTGGCCGGGTGGATGCTGACAGGATGTTTCTTCTAACAGGAGAGATTAGGATTCGGGGACATTGTTTAAAAACAAGGAGTCTCCCAATTAAAATGGTAACAAGGAGAATTTAAACTTCTCTATCAGGGAGCAGTGATATTGATAGGGAAGCGGGAGACAAGTTCTCAACGAAAGGGGAAGTCCAAACCTATCATGGAGTTCAAGCCACAATCACATCACCCATAATCTTGTCAAATAATGGTGCAGGCTCGAGGCCTACTCCTGCTCCTAATTCTTATGTTCAAATATGGTCAGGAAGGGACGAAGAGGGATGAATTCATCGCAGTGGAAGTAGGTGCCCTATGGCAATTGAAGGGATGCAGGTTCAGAGCTCAGTTCTGAATTGATCAGAGTTCTGAGGTTGGGAGGCCTGTACCATTGCCAACGAGGGGCATGGACTCAGTTCAGATAGGAACAGAGTGTGTAGCGGGGACTGAAGATAATATCTTCAGTCTGCTCAGTGTAAGACTGGGGGGAATTATGTCTCATCTCTGACTCAAAGACAGTCCAGCAACCTGACAATGTCACAACAGTGGAGGCATTGAGCAAGATGGTGGAAAAGTAGAGCTGGAAGTTCCCAGTCTCCTTGTCGAATCTGACAGAATGCAAGTAAGGTGATTTCTCCAAAGGAGCAACATACATAGACGAGGAAATGGAGGAACCAAGAATACATCTTTGGGTGACTCTGGATCAAAGTGGTCTGGGTTTGGCCATGATCTAATGGAATGGGAGATCTGACTTGATGGGATGAATGGCCCCTCCTAATCTAAAAGCGGAGACATCCACAATGGGCTGAATTTCACCAGGCACAGTTGGGGGCAAATGGCCAAGGATATAAGTGGCTGCCTCACAGTCAATTAGCAATAGTGGGGTCGAAGGTGGGCTTACTGCCCCTCAGTGACAGGAAGTTCCACCTCATTGAGCTGCCAACCAGTCAAGAGCCAGCATCTCTCAATGTAGCAACAGTGCCACTGGGAGTAGCAGTCACAGCTAATGCTGAAATTGGCAAAGAGGTCGCAAGCTGTGGTAAATTGGAACTAAGAATATTTGAGGGTTAGCAAGGCATTGAGAAAGGGGTTTGAAAGGCCGTGGAATTGGAGGGAGTGTGAGGCAAGACCTGAGGCAATGGGCCTGGGGTCCAATTAAGGTGGGACTGTCCAGCTGCCCACTACCATGGCATGAGGTACCTGTCTCACTGACTGTTTGGAATAGGCCTGTCTCTCTGCTGGCTTTATGCAGGGATAGGTGGGTAAGCTGCCTGTTGGATTTAACAAGATCACAGCCAGCTTTCAAACCCACCAGCCAGGGGAGTGTAAAATTCCAACCAGTTAAAATTCTACCCAGGTCTGTACTTCAAATTATCAATAAAAACAAATAGAACCTTTTGATGAAAATGCAAAGAAAATTTATAAAGATGATGCCACAACTGACAGGTTGTAACTGTCTGCAAAGATTGACCAGGCTCGACCTCCTTGCTCTACAGAGAGGAAGGCTGGGATGGGACCTGATGGAGGTCTTCAGAGTTTAAGCAAGACTTTGAAAGTCTAAGTGTAAGTAAAGAAAGTGTATCTATGAGGGAGATCAAAACCAGGGACCACAAGCATAACAGACGGTCACTGATAACTCTCAGAGAGTGCTGAGAAGAGGGAACTTGCTACCACATCGAATTGAAGGGGTGAACAGCAGAGTTAACTTTGAGGAGAAGGTAGAAAAGTACATCAGCAAGAGAAGGATAGAAGCTAGCTGTTAGAGTTGGATAAAGAGGTGGCCTCCAACATCCAAATGAAGATGGGGAACAGAGACATGAGAACACCAGCAACTGCAACTTACCCTCCAAGACACACACCATCAGGATGTTGGTACTTTACGTTGCTGTTAGGGAGGGAGTCCAGGATATGTGTGAGAGTGGGTGTGTGAGAGTAAATGTGAGAGTGAGTGAGAATGTGTGTGAGAGCGAGTATGTGAATGTGTGTGTGTGAGAGTGAGTGTGAGAGTGAGTGTGTGAGAGTGAGTAATAATGTGTGTGAGAGAGTGTGTGAGAGTATGTGAATGATATCCTGGACTCCTTCCCAGCAGCAACGTAAAGTACCAACATCCCATGGATGCAGCAATTCAAGAAGGCAGCTCACCACCACCTTCCACGGGGCAATTAGAGATGGGTGATAAATGCTGACCAATCTCCGAGATGACCACGTCCCATGAAAGAACATAAATAGTTAAACTTATAATGGAGCCAGCATAAGCTAGTGGGGTCAAATGGCCTGGTGCTGTACTGCAACTCCTAAGGAATATAAATAACGGTGAGCCCTACCTCTTACAGTGCAGTTCCGTTGGAAAGTAGAGCTGGAAGTCATCAAAGTTGTGCAGCACATAGAGGAAGCAACAACGTTCGTTACACTTTGAGACGCTGGAATAGAGGAGACAACACAGCTCACACTTTACACTGACACCTCAACCTAAGGCCAGGATGCAAACCAGGATGTTTCAGCAATAGTCTGAGTGGACATTGGGTAAACATTAAAATCAAACAAGAGACAGAGGATGCTGGAGATCTGAAACAAAAACAGAAACTGCTGGTGAATCTCAGCAGGTCTGGCAGCATCTGTGGGAAGATAACAGAGTTAATATTTTGAGTTTGACGACTCTTCATCAGAACTGTTATGCAGAAAACAAAGTTGGGGGAAGCGTGTGAGAGTGACTGAGAATGTGTGTGAGAGCAAGTGTGTGAGAGAGTGTGTGTGTGAGAGTGAGTGTGTGAGTGAGTGAGAATGTGTGTGAGTGTGTGTGAGTGTGTGTGAGAGAGTGAGTGTGAGAGTGAGTGTGTGAGAGTGTGTGAGTGAGTGTGTGACAGTGAATGTGTGTGAGTGAGTGTGTGAGTGAGTGTGTGAGAGTGTGTGAGTGAGTGTGTGTGAGTTTATGAGTAAGTGTGAGAGTGTGAGTGTGTGTGAGAGTGAATGTATGTGAATGAGTGTGTGTGTAGGGAGGTGGGGTGGAGGTGAGTGGATAGCTGGAGACAGAGCCCCAGAGAGAGAGAGATAAAACACGGTAGGTAAACAAGGAGATTATGGATAATAGGCCAGGATAGAGAAAAGCTGACGAAGTGATAATGTAGGAGAGAATGGGTGAGCTGTACTGAATACAACCCATACCATAAACAGACTGGGTATGGGGATAGGTAAAAAATACATGGAAGGAACAAATCAGGTTCTAAAGCTATTGAACTTGATGCTAAGTTCTTAAGGCTGCAGGATCCCCACGCAGAAACTGAGATGTTGTTCTTCCCCTTTCATCTCTCTCTCTCACTCTCTCCCTCCGTCTGGGCTCCATCTCCACCTATCTGCTCACCTCCACCAATTCCCTCTCCCCCAAACACCCAACTCCACCTTCAGCATAAATACTGCCTTTTCTTAGCTGCTAACAGTTCTGATAAAGAGTCACCAGACTCCAAACGTGGTCTCTGCTTTCTCTGCACAGATCGTGCCAGACCTGCTGAGTTTCTCAAGCAATTTCTGTTTTCATTACAAGGTAAAACATGTTTGCCAGTGGCATTATCTGGGTCCACTATTGAGTAAGTCATCGAACTATGCTACCACCCACTGTTCCTGTTGGAACCATCATTGCTCTCCCACACCCCCGGCACTCACAAAGCACTAAGCCTATCGTGCTGCTGGTTTATGTGGTTTCAATGAACCAACACAGTCAATTCTACTGTGCACATTGAATGTTTGAGGTGGGAATCCAGCCACTAAAGTAAATGTCAAGCATAAGGAGATCACTTCCGTTTTCCCATTCATGGTCAAAATACCTGTTTCATTCCTTTAAAAGACTTGGATCATTTCCAGCATCCATCCGGTTTGTTTGAGAACAGATTGTTCCTGCAGCTCAGCTCTGGAATAAGAATTGCCAAGACTACAGGGAAGATTAATGATTAATCTTCTGGATATAGTCGGTAGCTAGCGCCAGAGAAAAGTCACAGGGCAATTAAAAAAATATGTTGTCTTTCGTTTACATTTCCTTTGAACTCTTTTGCCAACTAAATCTCAAAACATCATAAACGCTGAATGGTTGTTTGGACTGACTGGGCGTGTTGGAGGTCATGGAGTGTACACTGCAGGAATTCATTCCAGCGGAACTGGTGACCCAGAACACAGCAGACTGCAATGCCCACAGTATGCGTCAGGTTTCCAGAATGTTCTCTGCATTGAGTTAAACACAGCACTGATTACCTTTCCAAGACTGTCACAGTTGCTTGGCACATACCTGACACCACGGATGGAGGTTACACTGAATATCCATGTGTGGATTCCATTCTGTTAACAAAACACCGAGAGAGAGGGCTCTCAAAAGCAGGCAAGTTAAAGACATTCAGTAATCAACATCATTCTCTGTCATTTCCAACACCGCAATTCCCAGGATATGGAATTATGGGTTTAAAAAAACTCAAGGAATCTCGGTCTGAGTCACGTCCCAAGTTCCTGGTTGGGGGGTGACCATTCAAATGGATTCCACTGTCATGCCCTATGAGGATGGGAGAAGCATCAAAGGGGCCAGACAGCATCAGGATATGATGGAGGTCATTGACTGAAGGCCAAGAATATTAACAGGTTAAGAGATCAGAAGTTCGCTACTTGTGCGATGAATCTTCAATATGGACACTAAATGAAGTCTCTCAATCTCAGTTCCATCCTGCCCTCAGCATCCACAGCCTTCTTGGGAGCTCCAAAAACTCTTTGACCTTTGAAAAATGCAAGCCCAGGATTTAACCGTTTAAGCACCAATACCATTTCCTGACTAACCCACTATGCAACTCTCCCAATTCTGCAATTACTGCACAGGACTTTACCAAAAATGGGCAGCCGGCTGTCTCATTACCGGTGAGCCAGTTCAATTGCAATCATCAGATACCTCTTCAGCGGGTGAGACATGCCACATGCTCACAGCCTTGTCCTTGTCACTGCTGCTCACTGTCAGGTGTGTGGGCTGGAAGACCTTTGTTGGCTCCAGGATGAGGACCTGTTGAGGAAAGTGAGAGTTGAGGTTTCAAACTGCATATTGAGGTCCCTCCCTCATAAGGACACTGAATGAACTATCAAACTGCTCCATATTCAGATTGGGAAAAATCGCCCGCACTCTGAAAGTTAACCCTGCTCAAACCAGGGATAAAACCTGGAATTATGCTGACTCCATATCAGTCAGGCCTGCTGCAAAATCCATTGGGGCGGTTCACTTGGGTCGGGGTGTTTATAACAGTGGGTTTGAGTACAGCGTGTAATTGTTGTTGTATATGGAGTCCACACATAGACTTATCCACGCTGTACCTTGTGATATAAATAAGCCAAAGTCTTCATAGTCCTACCAGACCATAGAGCTGCTCTCTCATCAAAGACAGAGAGAGAGTGAAAGAGATGACTGGTAGTGGTTTAGCCTAAGGGTCACCATGCCTCAGGTGAGGGAGTACATTGAGAAGGAGAATTCTTCATAGCACCCTCAGCCAGTGCAGGAACTGAACCCACACAGTTAGCATTACTCTGTATTACACACCAGTCCTGTAGCTAACCAAGCTGATCAACCTTGTAACAAGGTGCACAGCGTACACACACCTGCAGAAGCAACTTGTCATGTATACTGTGACACCAGCAGGTAACGTGACCCCAGCTGGTAGAGTACCCAATTGGTGGTGTTTAGCCAGCTGGTAGCATGACCCCAGCTGGTAACGTGACCCCAGCTGGTAGCATGACCCCAGCTGGTAGCGTGACCCCAGCTGGTAGAGTACCCAATTGGTGGTGTTTAGCCAGCTGGTAGCATGACCCTAGCTGGTAGCGTGACCCCAGCTGGTAGAGTACCCAATTGGTGGTGTTTAGCCAGCTGGTAGCGTGACCCCAGCTGGTAGCATGACCCCAGCAGGTAGCGTGATCCCAGCTGGTAATGTGACCCCAGCTGGTAGAGTACCCAATTGGTGGTTTTAGCCAGCTGGCAACATGGCCCCAGCTGGTAGCATGACCCCAGCTGGTAGCATGACCTCAGCTGGTAGAGTACCCAATTGGTGGTGTGTACCCAGCTGGTAACGTGACCCCAGCTGGTAGTGTACCTGCAATATTGACTCACCAGGAATTTGTCTGTGGGTGCCTTGTCCCTGCAGATTGACAAGAGGAATTCCATCCAGAAGTCTACCAGGTCCTGTTTGGCCAAAGGCTGCTCGCTGGTGTCCATCTTGAAGCGCCTGTAGAGTAAGTAGGTCTCCATTGCAGATGCCAGGTACCTTGGGGTAGAAGGGGAAACATCAAAGAATGGGAGGAAACAAAATTATCAGCATGAAATAGGATTTTCATTAACTCAAAAGACATGGTGAGATTAAATGCTATACAGGCTAAGAGAGAACAATGCTGGAGAATGGAACTCTCTCTAATTCAGGAATGCATCAAAATGCAAAGGGAATATTCATGTCTAAGGTCAGATGGTTCCACTAATGTGAGGCCTTTCTGCTGCCTCTCTTAGCCAGGCTCTGTGAAATGTGCTGTCCTGCAGATTGTGTTGGAGCTACTTCCCCCAAACAGTCACACTGATCCCCTGCCTTCGTTCCAACCGGGTGAAGCACTCCCACTTTAGCCAGCATTGCTGAATCCTTGATCCAAGCACAACACACAGCTCAGCAACTCTTCAACTGTCTGGAATGAGGATTTATCTGCTCTCTTGTTCAGCCTGGGGTCATATCGCTTCACTCTAGTTCAAGCTTACAGTCAGACACCCTTATTCAGCGCTGGGTTCCAATTATAAACTTTCCTTTTGCATTCTGACAGTTGTTAGGTAGAGCAACTTTTCTGGGAAGGAAGAAAAGTCCAGGCAAGTAAAACACGCACGAGCAACACATTTATCAGTTCAAGCAAGTAAAGCAGAATTTCCAGGGGTATAATCATCTGCACACACTTACAGTCACATACATATCATAGAATCCCTACAGTGTTCAGCCCATCAAGTCCACACCGAACCTCCAAAGAGCATCCCACCCAGACCCACACCCCTACCCTATCCTATCCCTGTAACCTTGCATTTCCCATGGCTAATCTACCTAAATATCCCATTGTACCAGTGTGGCCAATCCACCTAACCTGCACAAATTTAGACTGTGGGAGGAAACTGGAGCACCAGGAGGTAACCCACGCAGACACGGGGAGAACGTACAAACTCCACATAGACAGTCGCCCAAGGCTGGAATCGAACCTGGGTTCACACACACACACACACACACACACACACAAAGTGTAGGTGCACCTTTTCTTTGTTCTCTTGATATGGGAACTGCTGAGATAGTCTCATTTATTGATCCAGTACTATACTGAGGTGGTGCTGCACTGCTGCATGGTGTTGTCTTTTGATGGTTTCTTGTTATTTCATAGGATGTGGGTATTGCTGGCACAGTCAGCATTTGTTGCTCATCCCCAACTGCCCTCGAACTGAGCATCTTGCTGGTCAGTTTCAGAGGGTGTTCAGGGTAAATCCCACTGCTGTGGGTCTGGAGTCACATACAGGGTAAGGATGGCAGGTTTCCTTCCCTAAAGACATCAGTGAACAAAAAGGGGGTTTTTAACAACACCTGATGATTGTTGTCATGGTCACCATTACTGAGACTAGCTTTATATTCTGGATTCATTAACTGAATTAAAAGCAGCACCACCTGCCTCAGTGGATTTGAACCCCTGATCCCAGCTTTGGGTCTCTGGATTACTGGCCTAGTGACTACTTCTGTGGCACCTCTAAAATAAAGTCCTATCACTTTTCCACTGGATATTAAACATGCCACAGCACAGTTTCAAAGAAAAGGATTTTTCACACTGGTGCTAGAAGGAACATCAGAATCACACAGTCAGGGGAAGCTAGGACTAGTCTCTGAAGGAGCTAGAAAGGTTTTAAAACTTGACAGTGGAAAGCAGCTGAAGAAACATGAATAAAGTAATTTCAGGGGAAATTGAAAGGTCATTCAGTTTCAGGTATGGACATTAAGCACTGTCATGTTTGGACAAGGAACTTGATTCACTGCAAGTGAGTTTGGCTGGTATGTAAATGTCACTGTGATGGTGAAATTGTTTCTTTGGAATGGAGTTTGCAGTGATCGTTTTAGATTCAAACACGGAGTCCTGACTCACCAGACAGGTGCATTCAATCTGTACAGCTTCTCCGAGGCCTGAATGATCTTTGTCCGGTCATTGAATAAGATGCTGGCGCCCAAGAAAAAGCCCACGTCCCAGTAGAACTGCATCTTCTCCAGACTTCCCTTCCGTCCCAGCAAGCTGCTCAGCTTCATACCTGCACAATCCCAAAACCAGTTCCGTTATGATACAAGTCCCGAGAAACATTTTGAATGTGTGTGGGAGCCATTCTGAGCAAATTCACTTTAGCTGCGGAATTCCTCACAAACGAACAGCAAAACCGTGTGTAAACTCCAAGTGTCAAACAGAGCCATCAAGCAAGGCTATTGGAAGGCGTTCTTTACTCTTTCATGCAAAATGGGCATCACTGGCAATTTGTTGCCCATCTTTAACTGCCCTTGAACAAAATGGCTTGCTCGGACCATTTCAAAGTGTGCAACCATATTGATCAAACTGATTGCTACTCACTAAGAATCTCACTCTATTAAAACATACTGCACTGTAACACATCCAGGGATACTAAATATGCCCGAAGCACACAAGTGTGTTCCCATGATAATGGGTTAGGATTTGCTGAAACATAATGGAGATAGACTGATGCCAGTGTTAATGTACAAATGGGTCAGTGATTGTGAGGAGGAGAAGCCCAGGTGGATTGCCAGTCACCAAGTTCTGGCTCATTCCTACCAATCAAACAGTAGCTTCACGAGAACAGCATCTCACGCCACCCTGCTTCAGCAGGCAGTGGCTTTTGGATCTCGAGCTGGTCCCTGTGAGCAGGGAGCCTCTGCCAGGGTCAGAATTACCACAGTTACCAGAAAGTGGTCAGGGTCTGGAATGCACTGTCTCAGAGGGAAGCAAAGGCAGCTTCAATTGAGGCTTTCAAAAGGGAAATTGGATTCCCATCCGAAGAGAAAATAAACTTGCAGCATGTGGTGATTGGAACGAAGTGGTTCTCATTGACTACAAAGTCCTCGATTGGAGTCATTAACCCGGGTCAATCAGGAAGCGCTGGCTGAGCAATATAAACAGGGGACGGAGCAATGCCTGAGACTGATGCGTTGGTCACATGGGTGACTTTCCTGGTGGTGCACACCTGGTGTTTTTTTACTGTGTCTCACAAAAAACACATATAAACAGGGGAATCAGAATCTCCTCTGTTCAGGGATTGACTCCAAGCTAGCTGGTCACAATCAGTGTACTGAGCACAAGAAGGTAAAGAGTGACTTGGTGACAGGATACCAGCCTCTGTAGTTATTGTACAGGGCTACAGAGGAAAAGGCATCAGGTGAACTGTTCTTGCAGAGAGTTGATGGGTTGAATGGCCACTTGTGCAGTCAAAATCTACGATCCTAATATTGTTGCAAATGTGGAATGAGGGCCCGATCTCATGCCGTCCAGTGTGGAGGAGGGACAGAAAATAAAATGGAGGATTGTGGGTCTGAGCTCTGGATGAGGACATTTGGATCTGGAGGTAGCGGATTATGAGTCACTGCTACTTCTGGGTCTAAATCCTGGATGTGAACAGCAGGGTGGGGTCCACCACAGCACACAAAGTGCAGAACATCCCAATAGCATCAGCTCAGGGCAAGGAGGACTGGGCAGTATGTCCCAGCTTTACCAGTGATGTAGACGTACTAATGACATCTATGGGGATAATGCGGGAAAAAGGCATTGAGGTGGATGATCTAAGATGGTGCAGTAGATTCGAGGGGCTGAATGGTTTGATCCTGTTATTATGATGGGCTTACTGCAGGATAATGTGAATGGATAACAAGGTGTAGAGCTGGATGAACACAGCAGGCCATGCAGCATCAGAGGAGCAGGAAAGCTGACGTTTTGGGTCCAGACCCTTCTTCAGAAATGGGGGAGGGAAAGGGGATTCTGAAATAAATAGGGAGAGAGGGGGAGGCAGACAGAAAATGGATATAGGAGAAGATAGGTGGAGAGGAGACAGACAGGTCAAAGAGGCAGGAATGGAGCCAGTAAGGATGAGTGTACGTGGGGAGTTAGGGAGGAGATAGGTCAGTCCAACGAGGACAGACAGGTCAAGGAGGCGGGATGAGGCTAGTAGGTAGGAGATGGGGGTGGGGCTTGGGGTGGGAGGAGGGGATAGGTGGGAGGAAGGACAGGTTAGGGAGGCAGGGACGAGCTGGGCTGGTTTTGGGATGCGGTAGGGGGAGGTGAGATTTTAAACTTGTGAAGTCCACATTGATACCATTGGGCTGCAGGGTTCCCAAGCGAAATATGAGGTGCTGTTCCTGCAACCTTCGGGTGGTATCGTTGTGGCACTGGAGGAGGCCCAGGATGGACATATCGTCCAAGGAATGGGAGGAGGAGTTGAAATGGTTCGCGACTGGGAGGTGTACTTGTTTGTTGCGAACCGAGCGTAGGTGTTCCACAAAGTGGTCCCCAAGCCTCCGCTTGGTTTCCCCAATGTAGAGGAGGCCACATCGGGAACAGCGGATACAGTATACCACATTAACAGATATCCAGGTGAACATCTGTTTGATGTTGTGTACACATGTGAACTGGTAACACCAATCGAATTCTGTGAACTTCTGGGGATATGGGTACCACTGGCAAGGTTGGCATTTATTATCCACTCCTAATTGCCCAAAGGTTTCATAAAACCGTATGGATGCAATTTGTTCTCTGCTGAAATCTAAAATGGTTAATAAGAACACCAGGTTGTCATCCTTTATGAGTATTAGCGAAGCAGTTAGACTTGTACCAAATAGGTCTGAAGATCCTACTATATAGATACAGTGTGGAAACAGGCAATTTGGCCCATTGAGTCCACACACTGACTTCCTGAAGACCATCACCCAGACCCATTCCCTGTAACCCTGCATTTCCCATGGCTAACCCACCCAGCCTGCACATTTCTAGACAACTTCCCATGGCCAATCCACCCAACAGGGGCATCTTTGGACCGTGGAAGGGAACCAGAGCACCTGGAGGAAACCCACGCAGACACGGGGAGAATGTGCAAACTCCACACAGACAGTCACCCAAGGGTGGAATTGAACCTGGGTCCCTGGTGCTGTAAGGCAGCAGAGTTAACTACTGAGCCACTGTGCCACACTTATGAAAGAGCACAGTACAAAAGTGATATTAGCTATAAGCTTGTTGAAAAGCTGCCGTTAGTGCATTCACATTGGTCCTTCTTCTGTAACTTCTGATTCTGTAACAATACTCAATGTAACCTCCATTGTGAACAAAGTCTATGGGCTTCAGACAGGGCATGCAGGAGCTCAGCTTGCAGGGTACAGATACTTAAGTACATTGTAGACCCAGCAATAGCAGCAGTGAAATACAAGAGTGGATGGTATGTGAGTGATACACTGCCACTAAAACTGGGTGCAATTTCTACCTAAATATCTCTTTAGTAGAATGCACAGCACAGTAATAATTTAAAGAGCTTATGCCAGCTCCATGTGAGTTGTGTTTTTTTTAAACGTTATAAGCATATCATTCTGTTCATGTCTCCTGTAGATAAATTGAGCCACCCACGCTAAGGTGGCAATATCTACTGTAATTACTATGAAGTTCAACAGTGGCACTATACAAACATCCTCTCAACAGTAAATCAATTGTAAACAATAGGCCAGAGACTTTTTCCCAGAGCAGAAATGACTATTACAAGGGGGCATAATTTTAAGGTGATTGGAGGAAGGTATAGGGGAGATGTCAGAGTCAGGTTTTTTACACAGAGAGTGGTGGGTGCATAGAATGTGCTGCCAGTGGTGGTAGTAGAGTCAGATACATTAGGAACATTTAAGTGACTCTTGGATAGGCACATGCATGATAATAAAATGTAGGGTATGCAGGGTAGTTTGATCTTAGAGTAGGATAATAGGTCAGCACAACATCGTGGGTCGAAGGGCCTGTACTGTGCTGCATTGTTTCATGTTCTATGTTCTGCACTCTGTTCTGCTCCTCTGATGCACTTTGTACAGTACGATCGGCCTGTATAGCACGCAAAGCAACACTTTTCACCCTATCTCAGGACATGTGACAACAAATATCAAACAGTGAGACTTTCACGTGTAGCAACAATTGGGTAGCATGCTACAGAAAATCACAGTGCAAAAGAAACTCAGCAATCTAACCTTCATTGGCCTTCCTAACAAAAAGAGTGCAATCCTGTCTATAATTCTTTAACACAATTTAATAACCCAAACCAAATTTCAAACTGAGAAAATCTCAAGGCCCATGAGAAAACAGTGCTGCGAAGATAAGTTATCTTTTACTGAAAACATTATTTTTAAATCTGGGCAAAAATTTACACAAGAGACAGGCAAAACCTAATCCACATTTCAAATTAACAAATGGTTTGAAAGTTAAAAGAAAAAGAAATTAGGGATGGAATTAGATCACGGCAGCTCGTAAATAAAACATTCGAGTTTCACCCTTAATAGCCTGCTTGAGCCCTGCAAAGTCACTGGGATTGAGGAATGGTCAAGTATTAGGCAAATGAATCATCTCATGCAATTCCTTTACGGTAAACACATACAAGCTTAGAGTAAGATTAGGCCATTCAGTCCCTCAAATCTGGTCTGCCATTCAGTAAGATCATAGCTGATCTCACTATGGCCTGAAAGCTACCTTTTCACCCACTCCCAATACCCTTAGATTCTTGACTAATCAGGAGGTCAATCTATTTCTGCCTTAAATTCCCACAGCTCGCTAATAGACTTGTGTGGTTCATAGGATAATGATGTTTTAGAGTTAAACCTTTTGGTTTGCACGAGTGTTATAGATTGAAACTGTGACTTCAAATGGAGGGTAAATGAAAGTGTTTTTAAAATGACATGGGCCGGGGACTGCACAATATTTAGCTTGGGTGGTTTACTTGCTCGAGATCAGAAATTGATTCTGATTAACCTTTTGAGTGGGAGGTGCAAAGTATTTATACCTGAGAATGATGACGTTTCTGAATTTTACAAGAAGCAGTCTTTGAGTCCCCAAAGGTCCCAGAAAGAGATGGTATTAATATCAAGTTGCAAATATGTCCACAGTAAACTATTCCTTTACCTACAGGCTAAAAAGAAGTTATGATATAAGACAACTAATTAACATTTTGACTAAGATGCAGGGCTATTGAGTTCCCTGTTTCCATGGAGAAGGAAGTAGATGAAGTCATCTTGAGATCAGGTGAGAGGCTTCCCTAAAAAATCAGCAATATTACAGATGGCATATACAGGTTTATTTGATGTAGTCTGCAGACGTAGACAGCAAGGAGTGAAATTAGCCAAGCCTGCAATATTCGAGAAATTGCAGGCTCTGTTGTTTACCCCACAGAACTTGGAAGGGAGTTCATACTCAGTTTGAAAACCAGGTTTGTGAAGAGTTAAAAAGGCTGGAAGATTTGCCTAGCTTGGAATTTGAGGGACAGTCTACAGTATTATATTCGTGGTGATTAGAAACTGGGATTAGAAGCTTCCCAGCTTGGAAAAGTTATAGGAAGCAACTTATTGGGAGCTGCGTGCAACTATGAACTGTTGCTAAAAGAATTCTAACTCTATGAGGAAAGCAATGTGCGATAAATAACAAGGCACTCCTTGTTACCATGGTTTAAAATATAAGTTGCCAACAGACAATAGCATTTTATTTATTATTTGATGCAGTAAAGGATTTTTTAAAGCATTAAGTCTTGATGTGTTATCCTTTCAGCTATTAAAAAGTTAGAATTTCTCTTTGGAAAGTTATTGGTCTCTTCAGACGTCATAAAATCATTATGCATGGACAAACTCAACAAAAGCTGGAGTACTTGGGGATAAAATTGTATGAATAAGAACAGGAATACAAAAGCAAAGTTCTCCAGATGCTGAAAATCTAGAATACAAATAGAAAATGCTGGAAATATTCAACGCATCTGATAACACCTGTGGGGAGAGAGAAACAGAATTAACCTCATAGTCATAGAGTCATGAGGTTCACTTTGTCACATAACAGAGTTCTCATTGTTTCTCTCTCCCATCTGTGTTAACGGTGCCCGACGAGCTGAGTATTTCTAATTGGTCAGGATTTGCTGGTATCCATCCTGATGCCAATTCAAACAGCTTCCTAGAAACAAACTTTGTATTTCTTGTTAAGTACAGAATATGCATCCAAAGCTTTGTAAGGCTGATTCTGCGGGGATGAAGTTCTGTGCAGATCATGCATCATTAACTCATGCAGTCCAAAGAACTGATATTACAATAAACGTTACCTATCTTCCGAAGTTCAGGTGAGGTGTCAAATTTATGGCCGGCTGCCATGAGGAACACAGCAACATTAATCCCTGAGTGCAGTGTGGGCTCATGCTCAAAGGCCATCCCATACCTGCAGGGAGAGAACAGCAAAGTGTCATGGACCAGACCAAACCCTAAAATATATTAAGAAGATAACCTAGATCCTAACTTTTTCTTATTTAAAAGGCAAGTGCCAGGCATTGCATTCTGGATGAAAACTGATTGGTCAAACTACCAGATTTGAAGCAAAATACACTTTATTCATTCACTATACAACAAAAGAAAAAAATACAATAAAATAAAGAAGAAATTGGAATAATTAACTCTAATTGCAAAGTTAGCAGAATAACTGATTATTTAACTACTGAACAGTAACTGTTCCAACATAATAACATCCCATAAATACACCCTTGGCAAAGGTAAATTCAGAAATTAAATTGTCTCACAGGCAACTCTCCAGTGTAGGAGGAAAAAACATCAAAAGAAAACTCAGAGAGAGACAGCAGCAGGGAGAGATGTATTTCATTTTCCAAACCCAGCTTCAAGATCCCAGCAACTGCTACTGAAAAAAACTAAAACTAAAAATCTTGGTTCTGTGGGAGATTGACCTCACCCATTCAGGCTGCTTCTATTGTTCCAACTTTTAAAGAAAAAACCTAATGCCTCACAAGCTGTTTACTTTATTATAGCCAAATAGACAGCTCGGGACCTCTGCCTTAAAACCTCTCTTCAAAACAAAAACAGGACAAAATACATCTCTTAAAGCCATAGTATTGTCACAAAGTGCTAAACAGTCATGAAGCATTCGCTCTGAAATGCAGTGACCTGGTGTGTTACTGGAATCTTTACATTTTTACCAATGGAGCAATCAGTACCGGATATCGCTGGGCAGTCAGTGGACTATGATTCTTTGGTCAGCTCTATATTTCACCCAGTCGAATTCCACTTGGAGGAATCTATCGTAAAACAAATCTCTGAGCATAGAGTCATAGAGATGTACAGCATGGAAACAGACTCTTTGGTCCAACTCGTCAACGTCAACCAGATTAATCCTAAATTTATCTAGTCCCATTTCGCAGCATATGGCCCATATCCCTCTAAAACCTACCTATTCATACACCCATCCAGATGCCTTTTAAATGTTGTACTTATACCAGTCTCCACCACTTCCTCTGGCAGCTCAGTCCATACACACACCACCCTCTGTGTGAAAAAGTTGCCCCTTAGGTCCCTTTTAAATCCTTCCCTTCTCACCTTAAACCTGTGCCCTCCAATTTTTGGACTGCCCTATCCCAGGGAAAAGGCCTTGTCTATTCACCCTTTTTCCATGCTCCTCATGATTTTATAAACCTCAATAAGGTCAAACCTCAGCTTCCAATACTCCAGGGAAAATAGCCCCAGGCTATTCAGCCTCTCCCTATAGCTCAGACCCTCCAACTCTGGCAATATCCTTGTAAATCTCTTCTGAACGCTTTCAAGTTTCACCACATCCTTCATATAGCAGGGAGAACACAACTGAATGCAGTATTCCATATGTTGCCTAATCAATGTCCTGTACAGCTGCACTGACCAATAAAGGCGAGCATACCAAACAGCTTCTTCACCATCCTGTCTACCTGCAACTCCACTTTCAAGGAACTGTGAAACTGTACTCCAAGTTCTCTTTGTTCAGCATCACTCTCCAGGACCTTGCCATTAAGTGCATAGGTTCTGCCCTGATTTGCCTTTCCAAAATGCAACACCTCACATTTATCTCCACCTGCAACTCCTTGGGTATGCATGAGACTGAGCTTGTGTTAAAGACTTGGTGGAAGTTCAATTAAAAATTTTGCTGGAGAGAACAATTTAAGATACCAGAGAGTTTTAACTACAGCTGTTGGTCTGATTTCCTTTTTGACTACATTAAACTTTGCTTTTGCATTCCAGTTCTTATTCAATTTCATGCTACAGCATCTATGAGTTGGGCCATGCATCATATTTTTATGACATCTCTAGAGACCAACAATTTTTAGAAGAGAAATTCCAACTTCTTTAAACTTTGACACAATTGACCCAAAAATGTTTTAAGCTCAGTTTCTGTTTCTCTCTCCCACTCCCTCGGATACCACGTGATTGGCTGAGTATTTCCTATATTCTCTGATTACCTTCAGTTCACAATTCCAGAACCTGCAGTATTTTGCACTGGGACTATATCTGCCCTAACCAAATAGATTGTGAACACTGCATCCCATTTATGACACACATCAGTTTAGGTTTTAGGTTGTAGGAGGCTGCAGGCTTTCCATTGGGAGTTGCCTGTTGCAACATTTCAAGGAAAAGAAGTTCTGGAATGCGCAAATCAGAATGAACTGCTCTGTCAGGAAACGTGACCCACGCCACTTTGAAAAGAATTATATAATTAATCACATTAATTGTTTCCCCGAACAATTTCTCTTCAAATATTTCCTCAAATGCTTTGCACCAGGACATCTGATAAAATATTGATTGAGCTCATTGATCATCAAATCAGTTTTCTAAGGGGTCACCAAATGTAGGTCAAACATTGCTAGAAGTGTTCATCTCCAATAGCCTCTACTATTTAACATCAGTTTCTCTCCAATTCCCTTCTGGCTCCAAATATTGGTTTGTGTCAAGACTTTTAATCTGCTCCTTGCATTAAAAGGAACGACCCACCTTCTACAGCCTAAAAGTCATGATAAGCACGGTGGGCGGCACGGTGGCACAGTGGTTAGCACTGCTGCCTCACAGTGCCAGGGACCCGGTTTAAATTCCAGCCTCGGGTGACTGTCTGTGTGGAGTTTGCACGTTCTCCCCGTGTCTGCGTGGGTTTCCTCCGGGTGCTCCGGTTTCCTTCCACAGTCCAAAGATGTGCAGGTTAGGTGGACTGGCCATGCTAAATTGCCCGTAGTGTTCAGGGAGGTGTAGATTAGATGGGTTATAGGGGGATGGGTCTGGGTGGGATGCTCTGAGGTTCAGTGTGGACTTGTTGGGTCGAAGGGCCTGTTTCCACACTGTAGGGATTCTATGAAGCAGATATTCTGTTGTGAAATCCTTTTTGGCACCCCATAGTTCATTGCTTACATAAATCATCGGAATGTAATCACTGGTAATATAGCAGAATCAATTGAATGTGAAGTACTCCATGTTCTATGGTTCACTGCAGTCTTTGATCTATCAGGCATTGTCAGGAATTGTATGTTCTAGTTCACTCAAGACTACGAGTCACTATGGCAACATGCACTTTTACGTGCAGACTGTGGTCTGGAACTATGGATAGTGACGATACAAGCTCCAACAGCCTTTCCAAGACAAAGCTCACCAGAAATTCCTCTTTTTTTGTAAAAACTCACTCATGAGATATAGCTAACACTGGCCAGCATTTATTGCCCATCCTTAATTGCCCAGAGAGCAGTTAAGAATCAATCACACTGCTGCGAGTCTGGAGTCACACACCTGGTAAGAATGGCAGATTTCCTTCCCTGAAGGACATTAGCAAACCAGGTGGATTTTTATTTATAACAATCCACATTGTGGTTAGATGGTCTGCATTAAGCTAACGTTTTATTTCAGATTTTTATTGATTTCAAATTCACCATCTGCTGTGGTGGGATTTGAACTCATGTACCGCAGAACATTAACCTGGGGCTCTGGGCTGCTACTCTAGTGACTTTCACACTGTGGCACTGCCTGAAATCAGTGCATCATGAAAGAATTTACAGGTTAAGGGCACAGAGGGTTGAGGGTAGAAGGATTGAAACTGAGATAGAGACAGTGATACAGACAGAGATTGAGAGAGAAAGTGCAACGGAGTTGAGGAACCGCATAGGTAAAAAAAAAACCGTAGTTGGAATTATGTACAGGCTTCCAAACAGTAGTCAGGAGCTTGGATGCAAGATACACCAGGAGAGAGAAAAGATGGGAAGAAAGGCAAAGTTAGGGTGATCATGGGGGATTTCAATATGCAGGTGGGTTGGGAAAATCAGGTTGGTAGTGGTTGCAAGAAAATGAATTTGTGGAAAGAGTACGAGATGGCTTTTTCGAGCAGCTTGTGGTGGAGCCCACTAGGGAACAGGCAGTACTAGATTTAGTGTTGTGCAATGAGGCAGGCTTGATAAGGGAGCTTAAGGTGAAGGAGCCCTTAGGAGGCAGTGATCATGATATGATTGAATTTACTCTGCAGTTTGAGAGGGAGAAGACAGAATCAGAGATAATGGTAATACAGCTGAATAAAGGCGACTACAGAGGCATGATGGAGGAGCTGGGCAGAATTGACTAGAAGAGCTTCGCAGGAAAGACTGTGGAACAAACAATGGCAGGAGTTTCTGGGAGTAATTCAGGAGACACAGCAAAAATTCATCCATGGGAAAAATAAGCACGGTACAGGGAGGATGAGGCAACCATGGCTGACTAAGGAAGTCAGGGGTAGCATAAAAGCAAAAGAGAAAGCATGTAATGTGGTGAAGGGCAGTGGGAAACCAAAGGATTAGGAAGCTTACAAAGACCAACAGAGGGCATCAAAAAAAGAAATAAGGAGGGAGAAGATTAAATATGAGGGTAAGCTAGCCAGTAATATAAATGAAGACTGTAAGAGCTTCGTTAGATATATAAAGGGCAAAAGCGAGGCAAAAGTGGACATTGGACCATTGGAAAATGACAGTGGAGAGATAGTAGTGGGGAACAAGGAAATGGCTGAGGAACTGAAAAATTACTTCGCATCGGTCTTCACAGTGGAAGACATGAGTAATATCCCATAAATTTGAGAGTCAGGGGGTAGACCTGAGTATGGTGGCCATCACCAAGGAGAAGATGCTACAAAAACTGAATGTCCTGAAGGTGGATAAATCACCAGGATGAGATTAACTACACCCCAGAGTTCTTAAGGAGCTAGCTGAAGAGATCGTGGAGGTGTTAGTGGTGATCTTTCAGGAATCACTAGAGTCAGGGAGGGTCCCAGAGGACTGGAAAATCGCTAACATGACACCCCTGTTTAAAAAGGGATTAAGGCAAAAGACAGAAAATTACAGGCCGATTAGCCCAGCATCTGTTGTGGGTAAGATTTTAGAGTCCATTGTGGAGGATGAGATTTCTGAA